CCATACTAGTTCACGTGCAATCTATCACGGGGATTCTATGGATTATAAGCTAAACACAGGCATATGCCCAGAGACTACCAACAGAACCGCTGCGGGGGTTTCACTTTTGTAACACCAGATTTTCAAGTACTTATATTTGAATGCGGATTCCTCTCCCACCGTCACACCCGGTTCGCCCGCCATTGTTCCGATCCAAAATCCTTCCACTGGTTCGGAATTTATGCGGCAGGTGGTCCGCAATGACTCCTGGGATATAGTAGGACATGAAGGATACATCGGACCCATCCTTAGAATTCAGGGCAAAGTAGGACGCATTTGTCGCCACATTTTGAGTACTCTTTGGATTTGGACAGCCTTCGTCGCGTCGCCGTGATGTCATTGCCTCCAAATGTGGCATTAGCGCATCCTTCCCCCGGTTTCGGACACGACTAACCCTCAAATTTGCGGAAAGGTAGAACGCATTTGTCGCCACATTTTGAGTGCTCATTGAATTCGGACAGCCTTCGCCGCGTCGCTGTGACGTCATTTCATCCAAATATGGCATTTTAAGCATCCTTCCCCTGAATTCAGACACAGCCCCTGTGTTCTCTATGCTTAGTGTTGCGTCGTTAATGTCTCATCCCTGAAGCTGTGTGATTTTCCCTGTGTTTCCTCAGTTTATCATTCCCAGTATAGTTCTGTATCATTGTTAAACCTGCAGTAAAGCAGTGATTTTTGAGTTCAGTTCTGTTTCCGTGAGTTTTGCGTTTTGGATCCTCACCTGCCTGCACACAGCAAGTTCATGACACATGGGAATTACTGTTCACACACTGACCTCATTATGTGAAAGGTTTGATATGAACATGGCCTTTCCAACACCGGTAAACGAAATACATTTCTTGGCTGTATTTAAATGGAAAGCAACTGCACCTCTTTTCCTCTTTGGTGCGACAGCATAATTGTTCATAACTGATGCCTGTTGTTCTCACTGCTGAGTAGACTGCAGCTGAATAAATCTCTGCAGAAAAAGAAAAACACAAAATTTCTTCACAACAACAACAGTACTGTAAAATAATTTATTCATGATGGTTATACTGTGTGGATATTAAATAAACAGAACATGAACTCTGGCTAAAACTTTTGTGTTAAAGTAAATAAAAAGTGGGAAATGCAGTTTATTAGTTTAACTGCAGATTAATAATAAGTTATCCCACTTTAAGATTTTTACATTTTCATAATTGGTGCAAATATTTAAAAATATGCATAATGTAAACATACATGGTACTTGGAAAGTGTTTGCCTGAGATTCCGTTTCTTAAATCCTGATTGGTTGGTCTGATGGGAGAAGCCAAGGGAGAGAGAAGGACGGGGTGGTGAGGCCACGGTGGCTCGTGCTCTCCTGCGACTGGAGTAAGCTGTTGGATGTCTACTGGTATCTTG